ATAAAAGCATTGACTTAAAAATTGAAAATTATAAATGCTTAACCAGTTAACTGTGACACTCATATCGAACATTTCTTATAGTTTTGTGTTATCTGAATCGAGCTCATGACAGATATATTCGTCAATCACAAAGTAAGTTGTCGTGGTTTGTAGGTAAAAAATATGGGTTTATTTTATAAAAACTAATTTCTATTACTACATTTTCCTTCTTTGTTAACATACTAAGAAGTTAATTAAATTTAATGAAATATAATAGCTAAATATAAATGTAATTAAAATAATAAAAGCGAAAAAATATTTTCAGCTAAGTTTTAATTTTTATTAATTAAGTTTATTATTTTCATATCTCAGGAAATTCTCGCAACTTACCACATACTTCTTATTTACTCATAATATTCACAATTCTCAAAATATGAACGACTTGACATTTTAGATTTGTTTTCTCCAAAAATTTCAACTTAAGTAGTAAATAGTCACTGTTTTATCTGCATGACGAATATACTCGTCAATATACAAGATTTTGCCACTTTTCCATGATGAGTATATTTATCAAATACAGTTAACTGATTGATAGAGGCTAATTTTACTCTACTCTGAGTTGTTCCAAATTGCTCACAACTTAATTAGGATTATTATAAGTTGAAAATATGTTCTTGACTTCTTCTAAATATTAATAAATTACTCGAATTAGATTATAAATTAATATGTTTCTGTATAAATGTAACATCACTTTAGTAAACTTAAAATATTATTTTTTTAATTTAATATTTTTTTACATTCTATTAAAAATGATCTTTCAAATCAGTCTAAACCAAATTTGCATTTTTGCAAATTACATTTATTTGTAAAATAAGTATATTATAGACAAAATCTAACTTATTTATCACTGACTATCTTGTATTTTTCTGAATGCTAATATGATATATAGAACATCAATTAGATACTAAATTATTATTTTTTGTACGAACATTAATTTGAGTTTTTAAAAGTACAAATATTTTTCAAAGATGTAATTTGAAAATATTAAAAGAATAAGATTATTAAGAATAAGACTACTAAGTTTTTTTTCTGAATTAATAGTTCTGATTTGCCGTCGCAACATGAGTGTTCTTGTAATTTACTATGTTATATTAAATTAAAAATTGACAATTCTAAATTATTAGCAACGGACAATGACTTTATATTTATATTTAATTTTTTTAGGAATATGTAAATATATTCCAAAGATTTTTCATCTAATTGTTCTGATACATAGTACTTTACCATCAAGCTCTTCTTTTATTACGCATTTAACCAATCTCGAAAAGCTTTCATAGTCGCCGATTAGTCATGTGAACGCCTGAAAGACAAATTAGACTGAGTTTTTTTTATTTCCGAAACCTCAAAGTACGGTAGCAGTAAAGTATTTTATTGTAACTAAATTCGTGTTAATATCTTCCTGTACAACCGCAGATCAAAACTTTAATTGTTCCATGTGTAATAATCGACACCGTAGTCGGAACCAACAACTACCTAATTATTTTAGTTTTCAGTACCAAATGTCGATATCTTAATTTTGAAGATAAGATTTGACTAATTAGAATAAAGTATTTCTCTATGAAATGTTGGATAATTTGATATGCATACGTCCAATGACCATCTTTGACTAGCAAATGGCATTTAAAAAAAAATCTTTTTTTGTAAATTTCCAATATCGCTGGTCCAGTCTTCCAAAAAGTATAATCAGTTCTTCATTTCGTCAATACAAGAAAAATTTTTTTATAATCAGTCTAATAGGACGCTTTGTTCTCAAAAACTGAAATGCCATTTTTGCCATTTTTGTCCTGTATCTTCAAAACGGCTAGACATGCCTTTGCGAAAAACTAATCACCACGTCTTCTCATGTTTCAAAAGTTTTTTGAATCATTCAAATCGGTTGATCTGTATTCTCGAAATCGTAGATGAAAATTTGTATACGCACATACATACACACACTGGCACATGCATCTATTTTTGATAAGGCATGCCAAAATGTTCAGAAGGCTTTGAAACGTGAAGATCTGCAAAAAATTTCACATTCGATTTTTTGCGATTACTAAAATTTATTCTAAGGGAAGTTAATTATATTAAAGTCATAATATATTTATACATTAACAAATCTATTACATTTGTTTTGAAATATTTTATTTCAAAGGAGATTAACTTTTACAATTTTTGTTTCGAATACCAATTGGTGATAAATATCTTAAAAAATTTCATAAATATTGTATTATTTATAAAAGTTCTAAACAATATTTATAATTGATTATTAATATAATTAGATTTATTTATTAATTCTATTATACTTTAAATTGAAAAATTTCAAAATATCACGTTATTAACTTCCCGTAGGGTAAGTTATTGTAATGGGCCGAAAATCGGAATTGAAAATTTTTACATTTCTCGACGTTTTGAAGGTTTCTGAACGTTTTGGCATACCTCAGAAAAAATGGATGTGTGTGTGTGTGTGTGTGTGTGTGTGTGTATGTATGTGTGGATACAAATTTCCAGTCACGTTTTAGGGCGCACGGATCAACCGATTTGAATGGTTCAAAAAACATTCGATTCCTATTGATTGGGAAAAGAGCTGATTAGTTTTTGGCAAAGGCAGGTCCAGCCGTTTCGGAGATACGGAGCAAAGAGTGCAGAAAATAGAAATCGAATTTTTGAGCGAACGGAGTATCCGATTTGAATGATCTAAAAAACATTCAATTAGTAATGATTGGGAGAAGTGTTTATTACTTTTTGGCAAAGGCAGGCCCAGCCATTTCGAAGATACGGAGCTAAATATGTGAAAAATGGCAGTTTTTGAGAGAACTAAGCGTCCGATTTAAATGATTCTAAGAACTTTCTGCTTGTCTTAACAAAATAATTGATTTGAAAAAAAAAATTTTGTACCAATTTTTTTTTTTTTTTTTTTTTTTTTTTTTTTTTTTTTTTAGTTTTTTTTAGTATTTTGTATATCGAAAATATTTCAGATTTTATTTTTAATTTTGACTATAGTTCTAATATACTTTACAAATAATTTCAACTCTGCAATACGGTTTATATAATTCTTATAAATATTACACCATGTTACAATATTTATAATAATCTATTTGAAAACATTCAGTATTCCTCGAACATTTCGTTACGGCGCGGGAAGTTCCAGCAATTTGCCTTAAGGCACGATGCCATAATTGCCTCAAGACAGAATTCCACTTACAGCTAGTTAAATTTTATTTTGGGAAAATCAATTTCTAAGTTTTCTGTGTCTCGATTCACAATCATTTTATAAACTATCAATTTTTGAATTATCAATATCAAAGTTCTAATATTAATTCTATCATTCTATTAATTCTAGACATATTTAACGATCATATTCACAGTGTCTAATATTATAAATGCTTTTTTTTTAAAAAAAAAATACCTTAGTTTTTTTTTATTTTTTTCTTAAGTTGTTTGGTTAGTTCAATTACTTACTTTTATAATGGTTGAAATTTCAAAATTATGTAATTTTAATAAAGAATATTAATTCTAAAATCTCTAAAAAATTTGTTGATATTGTGTTTAAATTTTTCAATCTCGTTTTAATTCTAATTATATCAGAGTTATAGTTATTTGTAATTTTAATAATTAGAAACTTATAAATAATCAATTTTTAACACTTCAGAAATTTTTAATAAAAGTCAACTTGAATTTTTTTCAAAATCATTTGATCATACATATGCAACTATTGCATGTATTAAAAGTTAATTATTGCACTTAATATACAACTGATATTTGTTTTACAAAGTTGCGAATTTTTGTTTGTTACCTTTTAAAATTTTTAATGCATCTGAAAAAATCTTAAACACTTATGAATCATCGCAGCAATAAAATTACACTCTTCTAAATAGATATGTTGAAACAATATTGCTTAAATTGTTTTCAAATTGATATTAGGTTTGAACAAAGTACTTTAAAAAAATTAAATTTCTTTACTATTACATTACAGAGAAAAGGCTTAGCGATATGTAATTAATGGTATTTCATAAAAAGTGTATAATTTGCTTTAGAACATCATGAGTGATGAAAAACACATCAGCGTTCTGTGGGAACCGAAATTTACTCATATGGATAATTATGTTTACATTTGTGAAGAAGGTCTTTAGCTTGATTCAATTTTTACTTTCGTTTATTGATTGCTCACCTGAAAAATAATATTTACAACTCACTAAATAAAAAAAAATCTTTTTGTCTGTAAGAATCCTAATGAACCCTCAAACGTCTCTGACTTTATATAATTTTATATAAAAAAGTATTGCCATTTAATAATTATCAACTTCCTGAAAATTAAAAATTTTCAATAAATAAAAGATGAAGTAAATTATCTACATATATGTATTTCGAATGAGTTTTATTTTTGAACAATTTTGCTAACGACATTTGTGTACAGTTCTTAACAACAGAAATAATTATTCATCACAAGTTATAATTACAATTATAATAGTAAGTTTGTTAATGCCTTTTAAAAACTAATTTATAATATACGAATTGTAAAAGTATAAATTTATATTTTACAGTAGTTTCTACAATTTCATTTTATTAAACTAAAATGCATCTTAATAAATAAACCTAATAATGCCCTAATAGAAGTTCCATTTAAGTCTTCATGCACTTTTAATTTAAAAATCACCAGTATTTCTGCAATGTCTTTATACAGTTTATTTTAAATAAAATATCGAGCATAATTTTTTTATATGCACAGCACTTTTTGATAACTGAACACGTAGATTTTTAATATTTCTTCTAGTTTAGACTAGATATCATTTAATGCCAAGTATCTATATACAATCTAAGATGATGATGACATTTTTCCTGCATGGGGATTAAATTAATTCTTAAGATAAACAAAGGCCATGTGTCCACATAAATATTTTTTACTAATTACATACTAAAATTTATTTATAATACAACATATTTTACATAGTGCATTTTATACCTAGTTCAATTAACCAAAACTAGTTTTCAAAACCTACGGCTACAACTTTAGTTGTTAAATCCATTGGAGCTGTCCGATGTACTTTTATTCTTTTAACTTCTCTTTTATATTCATCATCATCTTCACAGTCATCATTATCTTCCATTTCGCTCCCAGTTCGAACACCTCCTAATCTAACTGATCCTTCACTAACTGTACTAGGTGAAGATGCAGTCATCCTTGCAGGACTACTACTTCCTTTCATAGACAAATCCATAGGATTTTCTTGCACTTTTCCATCAGCAACTGTATCTTCAGTTTCTGTATCATCATTGTCATCACCACCTTCTGTGCTAGGTGATCTTTGCAACTTAAGCACAGCATCCAAATAAAATCTTTTTGTGAATGTTTCAGTTGTCCCCGTAGCGTTTTGATCAGGGGTATATCTACTATTATTGTTATTATTATTTGTGATGCTGTTGTTATTATTTGGTGGTGCTGGTTTGAGCAAACCTTGATGGTGGTGGGGATACAAAGCCGGATGGAAGGCGTTTTGGAACAGCAAATGTTGTGCAGCAAAAGCTCCAGGCGGTGGTAAAAATCCAGGAGGTGGCAACATTGGCAATTGACCAAGACCAGGGAATGTCAGAGGAAGGAATAAATCTTTCGAAGAAGGCAGTTGTTGAGCTTCTGTCGTGGGTGGTTTGTGTAAAAGCAAGTTAGCGTGCCTACGATCTCCAACTTCCACAGAACTATCTGAATTATGACTATCGGGTGAGCTAACTGAAGGGGATGTCGACGCGTGTTTGTAGTCATCTAATCCTAAAAGCATGAGTTCTTCTTTTGTGCATGGCGGCCTTGGGAACATGCTAGGATGGTAAGCAGGCGGGTGGTGGCCCAACATGCTAACACCTGGAGGTGTCGATGAAGGCTTTTGTTGAGTATTAGGTTGTTGATGCAGCGTTGTTTGTTGGTGGTTTTGAAGATGGTTTTGATGGTTCAACTGCTGGTTTTGCTGATGTTGCTGCTGCTGTTCTTGCAGCAGACAGTGTATCTTGAACCAATTGCTTCTTCTGCCGTATCGGGAACCACTTTTGGACATTCCTACTAAGAGACATTTGCGAAGACGGCACGCCTTGCACGCGGTGCGGTTTTTCTTGTTGATCACGCACTCGCCGTTGTTCTTGCATTCGGAGATCGATGACAGATTGTTGTAAGATCTTCCAAAGAAACTCTGAAACAAACAGAAAAACATCATTAATAATTGAACAAAATTCCAAATTTTAAATTTAAATTTTAAATTTTTATTATTAACCGTGGCACAGTTCTTGAAATACAAATCACGCACAAATTGTAGCTTAATTATAATGACTTTATCATCTATTGTTTCGCCATTTGTGTATTTGCCGTTCGCACACGACACTTCAAATTCTCCAAACAATACACATAAGCCTCGTGCAATTTCAGCAGGAAAACGCAACCGACGTCGTAATGATGTGATTTTTTGATGAATCATATTATGGACAGATGGAATGTAGATCGAGGACATTCATCATTTGTTTGTAATCTAGATCTTATAATTAATCTTATCTGGCACTTTAAACTGAATTATATAATTTAAACTCATTGCTACTACAGAGGAATAACAAAGGATTGAATTCAGGGTTATAATTAATACTTTGTTCAAGCCATACTCGTGTTAGAAGTCTATTCTGGTTTAATTTATTTTAGGGTAAGCTATTTCAGTTGGATTTTAAAATTTGGTCATCAGTATCAATATATTTGCACACTTAACTGAGATTGACGAATATACTCGTCATATGAAGCACAACTTTGTATTGACGTGTATATTCGTCATGCTTACAAAAAGTGACTAGTTGCTATTAAAATTGAAGTTTTTGGAAAAACAAAATCTAGTCTGAAATATCCTAAATCTAGTCCTAAGTGGCAACTTTGCCTCGAGACAACTTACATGAACTTCTTCTAGATAAAATAGCATCATCGAATGCACATTCAGAAATAAATTATCCATTACCCCCAAGGACAAACAAGTGCTACATGGTCCAATAACAGAATTAATTTAATGACGCAACAATGACAAATAGCCGAAGAAAATCTATAACTACACACAGTCATTACATCAATTGTGAAACAATTTTCGATGTTTCAATAAAAATCTGGGACACAAATCATTATATACTATAAAGTCAAACATCGTAAAAATTTAATGATTAGTTAATACGATCTCGTGTTGATAATAAAATATTTGTTTAAGCAAAATGAATGATTAGCATGCATATTTATGTGCGCTACAAAGTGTGAAATTTATTACAAACGTCAAATAAAAATTTAAATTTATGTCCAGACATGGTACGTGTTTTGATGGTTCTGGGAATGTAGAACGAAAAACAATGATCATTCATAATTTGACAAGACCGGAGACAAGGTTTATTAATAGAAAATTTATTGCATTTAATTTAAATGGTAAAGAATAAATTTTGAAGTAATTGTTCGAATAATTTAACAAAAAGACGTAGAAGATGTATATCAAGCCAAATTAGTGTTCGTTTACTTACAACCTGCTTAGATTTTTAGGAGCTTTTTTTAATATTACATTAGAATATTTTTTTTATAAAAAATGCTGTTTAGTGAAAATTAAAATACTTGAAATGTACGATAAAGATACAAAATATTGATGTTACTACTTGGACCCAAAAAAATTTCGACCATTATTTTAATAAAAACCATTGGTTTCCAAATATGTTTACCCGACATCTATTTCCTTCTCGTTGCAATGAAGCAATAAGATTATTTATCCAAATGACTAATGTTTTCTTAATTCACCGAAATCAACAAAAAAATAAGTCTATTGCGCTGATGTTTATCTAAGATAATTATCGAACGTGTTTTTCTCTATCGCAGAATAAATCATTAACTGTAAAACTGGTACGAGGTCTTAGGTTATTAAGTTCTCCCAGGTTATTGCCAAATCTTACATGTCACACTTGGCAGGACAATCTGTATACTTATCTAGACAGAAGCGAAATAAATAAAATAAAAAATATAATGAAAAATATACAAGCAAGTGTAATAGATTAAACAAGTTCATAGCTGTAACTTGAAAGTTACGAAAAATCCCTAAAACTTGAAAAAATTGTACTTGAATTTTCAATTGGGGTGATAAGAATAATCTTATCATTTCGTAAAAAAAATATTGCGATTGATTATCTCTATAGTATATTGTATTTCTATATCGTATACTGTATATGATAGTTTTTTTTTTTTTTTTTTTTTTTAATACCAACACTTATTCTACATGGATCATATGCAAATTTTTGGTGGTATTTAAAACGTCTTTAATTTTGATTCATGAGTACAATTATTTTATATCAAAGTTCGCTATGTGATATAAAAGTTGTAACAACTAAATTTTATATATAAGTATTGTTAAAATGAAAATTGTTAATAAATAATATTGCTTTTATATCGTTTATTAATAATTTTCTAGATGATTAAAGCATAGATTTTATTTTACAAATAAACCGTGTGATCTTCTTTTTAATAATTTCTGACTGTAGCCTCCTAATCTATTTTCCACATCACTCCCCCTTTTATTATTATTATTTAAAACATCGCTCACCAATTATTCAAAATTAGCAATATTATATTGTTAAATTCTGAATATAATAATGTGTAATAAATAAATATTTAATAAATGTAAGTTTTACATATATTTTTTTTAATATGACGATTGTTTCCGTCCGACGGTTCTGTCGAAAAACGGAAAGTGAAACTGCTTAGCGTATTAACTGAACCATAGTGGTACAGTATTTGTGTTATTAAGCGAATTTCCAGATGTAAAAAAAATCTAAACACTACTAAACTCAATTCTTTTTATTTCCTAAGCCACGATGGAAACGCAATACTCCGAAATAAATGAATAGCTAGTGGAAAAAATGCATTAAAAAAAAACAATTCAATAGGAAAAATAACTTTCAAATACATATGCCTTAGAGATAGGAATAGTAGACGTTATGATATTATTATCATATTGAACTATTTTTTATCTAAAACTTTAATTTGCAGTTTTCATAAATTTGTTTATCTATTACATGGCTAATTATATGAATTCAATTCTGTTACAAGATTTTTATGGATCTATAAAAAACAGTTACGTTTGAGATACTTTTTACAAATATTTCATTATTGTATAGTCTACTAAAAGCATTTGTATCAATTCGATCAAGAACCCTTCAGAACGCACATATTCTTAATATGTTTATTTTAGTTGAAAATATTAAGTTTGGAATATTTTCTAATTTTCTCATTTCTTAGAAATTCGAATTTAACGATCTATTTGCTGAATTTTTATATTTGTAAACCAGTCAATTTCCAGAACTTTTCTATCTCAACCCAAACCATTAATATTTTATATAATTTCAAATATTTTGATTAATTTTTTATTATTGGTATTTAATACTTCTAATTTTCTATTTCAGAGCTTATTAGCTTTGTCGTTAAGATTTTTTACAAATTATCGCGATATTCATTATAGTACATCTACAAATTGGGATTATCACGCTTAACGATAATTTTGCTTTATTTTTATCTGAAGCAGTTTACAATTTCGTTTGTATGCAATTTTTCTGTTAGTGTGAAAATAATTTACTTACTATTATGAGTTTATTTATGTTTTTAATTTGATGGAACAGCACCGTACAAGAGCTGTTTTCACTTGTAAACACATTTTTGATTTGTAAGTAACATTTTTCATCACTACTGCTTAATATCAGGTCCGATGTGAGTCAACCTTATAGTTACCTAAGCCTCGGAAAAGCCCGAAACATAAAAATAACTTGAAACATTTATGTAATAAGTTTTATGAAACTTGACAAATATTATATTCTGTTTTATATGTAGTTATATTGACACTTATTTTGATATATTAATATTTATACTGATATTTATATTGATACTTATATTGATATTTATATTGATATTGATATTTATATTGGTATTTGAATTGATGTCCATATTAACGTTCATATTGAAAATCATGTCGATATTACTTTCGCCGACGTGAATGCTACTGCATTCATTTTCATTATAATGCAGAATGAGATGAATGCTATAGCATTCAAATTTTATAGTCAATTATTTTGAATTTAATTTTATACAACCGTACGTTTTTGCAATTATTGTACCTGCCAAGGTAATGACTAACTGATTCGTCAGGTATTTTCGTACTATCTTATCTTTATCCGTAGTCACTAGTTAACTTGGGGAAGCACATTGCGTAAAATAGAAGCGCAATACTTGACGTAGATGTTATAGCATCCATCGTACATAACGATTAAAATATGATAATTTGACTACCCTTCTAAATGAAATTTCACATATCACAACCCATTAAAAAAAATTAAATAACTAAATATTATTACCTCGCTAAAACTTATATTGTCCGCGAACGTTTTAATAATAGTGCGTGTGTTACAAATATTTAATGTACTGGTTTTTCATCGTTTTTCTGTAAATTTTTTCTATGAATAAGTTTTCCATCAGTTCTTTTCCCTGGACGGATATGGACGTCGGATTTTCATGGTTCGTCGCCGTGCGCATTGACTTAGAATACGAATGTCTTATTCTTGATTCTTGATTCTGCACACAATTGTGTAATCGCACTGGTAGGTGCTTTGAATATGTGTCAACATACTTTTATTATGTTAATACCTGTGTTACATATTGTCCTATATATAAATGCGAATGTATTTTTCATCTTATTAAATTAATTATACACTTTTGACATGTTGTAACGTCTTCAAACATACTAATTTATTTGTGTGTTGATCGATATTCTGTATTATGGTTTTAATAAACGTGAGCTTTGCACTTGTAATGTCTTGCTTCAATAAACACAGGTGAATTATTTAATTATATTGTTATTCTTGTGACGTCAAGGGCATTACCTGTTTCGTAATAGTAAATTGTCAAGAAATAATATTCCTTTGTAATTTAATACACGTCAATGTATAAGCATAAGCAATGTGCCTACTACTGTTCCGCATAATTAGAAAAAATTATTTACATTATTTTTGAATTTTGCTTTATTGATCTTGACAATAATCTAAATTTGGTATCATCAAAAAATAAAAATGTTATTTAATAATCAAAAAGAGCAACAAATGTTACTGCTATGCTTTTTACTATTTTTGGATTCCTTTTTATTAGACAATG